TCTTCCCATCTCCTTTCTTCCCTCTCCTTCCATGGGTGTCAAACCTAGATCTAAAGCCTCTCCCTACCTTCTCTGGCACCAGCCCCCAGCCCCAGCCCCCAATGAATCTCTTGTATATCTAATCCCATCCTAGCAGACCTAAATGCACGCACATGCAGACATACTAAAAAATCGAAAAATTGTAAAGAAATCAATTTGAGGGATTAGAGGAAAGGTGCCCTTATGAAAGAGAAACAGTAAACATAGAAGACCCTAAAGCACATGCATACCGAGTTTCAAGAGAACACATCTAAAAACAGAAGCAAGTAAGCATGAAGAGGGACTAATCTGAGAGTGAGAAAGATTCTCTAAGGGAAAAACCTAATTGTTGACAACCTCAGGAGGAATGGTAAACAGCAGATTGGATGTGGCGAAATATCAGGTTCCATGGAAACAGAGCAGAGAATAAAGGCAAGAATCAAATAATAGGAGAATAATGGTCTAAAATTAAAAGGCTAGTCTTCAGACCTCAAAAAGGTTACCCAACACTAAGAAATATTAAGGAAGAGACCATACCTAGAAATAACATGGTGACATTTTTAAATCTAAAGGATATAGAGGTATCTATCTAAGGAGAAAAATTCACATTGTACACAATACAAAAGAAACTCAAAATCAGACAGAAAGCCTCTCTTCTGCAATACTCTATCCCAGAAAACAAAAGCAAGTATCTATTGTTTTTAAAGGAGAAGATTGTAAGCTAAGGATTTGATATCCAGTCACGGTATCACATATGCAAAGGTAACAGAAAAACACTGCCAGGTATGTGACGGTTCAGAAAGTGCACCACCCATATACTCTTTATTTAAAGAAAGAAAAGAAAGAAATTAAGAATACCAGCAGAAGACAAAAAAAATAGTAATAATTAAAGAACTGGGGCTTCCCTGGTGGCGCAGTGGTTGAGAGTCCGCCTGCCGATGCAGGGGACATGGTTTCATGCCCCGGTCCGGGAAGATCCCACAGGCCGCGGAGCGGCAGGGCCCGTGAGCCATGGCCGCTGAGCCTGCGCGTCCGGAGCCTGTGCTCCGCAACGGGAGAGGCCACAAGTGTGAGAGGCCCGCGTACCGCAAAAACAAAAACAAAAAAACGAAGAACTGGCCAGACTATGTAGTATGATACTGGAACATTAATTTGGGCCCAAATAAAAACTGAGACATTACAAAGGGAAGGGAAGGGAGTGGAGTGAAGATACAGTGAAAAAAAAAAAGCAATTAAGAGAAACCAGGAAAAACAGAGCGGTGTCTCCGTAAGGTTGTTTCTATCATCATGAAACAAGGTAATGTCCAAAATATTCCTCAAAGAAGATAATAAAGAAAAAAATGTACTTCTTTTTGATTCCTTAGGTAACTATTTACTGTCCAGCTTTGCCCAAGGCATTTCATTGAACAGCTGTTTTCTGTGTAATAACCATACTTCTATATAAACAGAGAGCCCCTGGTAATACCGTGAAGGGAATTTTGGCAGTGGCTTTCTCCTTTACAGGAACACCGTTTGAAAAATCAGACAAAATCAATAGCTAAGCACGTCTAATGAATGCTGTGCAGAGTTTAGCCCATTACATTTATGCCTTATGTAATCTTCACAACCCTACCATTATTCCTTTTACAGCTGAACAGACTGATTCCCAGAGAGGTTAAATAATTTTTCCAAAGCCACATAGCTTGTGAAGTGTATGAGCTAGGACTGGAAATATCTCCAAATCCAAGTTCTCCATCACTACACTAAAATGCTTCATTTTCTCCAGAATAAAAGCACTTGCACACAAAATTGTGCCTATAATTTTACTAGTAGTTTTACAGACAACCCTACTGAGTTGTTAGGAACCATTAATACGTGTGTATGAACAATTTCACCACGTAAAATCATCCCTTCATAACTCAAAACATATGGACTCTTGCAATTCAGTTTATAAAGATATAGATACACACACATCTGTAATGCAGTACTAGAGGTTCTGCTCCTAATATGGCTGAGCAGCTTCTTTTGGACCAACCTCCTGTTGTTAATAGGTATAAACTCTGGACAAAATACAAAAAAACAACTAACTGAATACACTGGAGAATGACCAGAAGCAGGCAGAGTTCACACTTCAAAGAAAAGAATAGCACTGCGGAAGTCTCCCACTTTTACAGTTTTTAGTCCCTATTCTATACCTTGCCAGGCAGCCAGAACTCTGATGGAAAAATTGCAGAGTATTGTTGATAAGAATTCAGGGAAATCACAGCTGCAGGAAAGTGAGGGAGGAGGTCCTGCAAGGCAGAGCCAGAGAAGGTAAGCCAAAAATTCTGTCTACTTTAACTCTGCCCCCTGAACCACACAGGCACAGGGCAGACTCTAAGCAGCAACTGAGATATGAGGTGCTGCCCACCTAGAAAAAGAGTTTAGGGTTTGAGTCCAGCCAAGTTAAATGCCTAATAGGAAACAAAGAGCTATACTCTTGAAGGCATATAACAGAATCCAGAATCTCTGTAAAATCATTCACCGTATCCAAGATACAACCTAAAACTACTTGACATGTGAACAATCAGGAAACTGAGATCCATTTTCAAGAAAATCAACAAAGACTGAGCCTGAGATGATCCAAGTGTCAGAACAAGCAGACAAGGATTCTAAGGCAGCTTTTTCAAGTTTATGTGGAACATTCATCTAGACAGACCATACACTGTGTCATAATACAAGTCTCAATAAAACTGAAAGGATCGAAATCATAAACAGGCTATTTTCTGACCACAGTGGAATTAAAAGCAGAAACCAGTAACAATAAAATACTTAGGAGAAAAAACAAACATTTGTTCTATGTTACGCCATCCATAAAAATTAACTCAAATGGATTAAAGACTTGAACTTAAGACCTGAAACCATAAAACTCCTAGAGGAAAACATAGCGGTAAGCTCCTTGACATAGGTCTTGGCAATGATTTTTTTCAATCTGACACCAAAAGTATAAGCAACAAAAGCAAAAATAAACAAATGGAAATATATCAAACTAAAAAGCTTCTGCATAGCAAAGGAAACCATCAACAAAATGAAAAGGCAGTCTACTGAATGGGAGAAAATATTTGCTAATCATGTATCTGATAAGGCGCTAATATCCAAAATACATAAAGAGCTCATATAACTCAACAGCAAAAAAACAATCTGATAATAAAAATGGGCAGAAGATCTGAATACTTTTTTCCAAAGAAGACATACAGATGGGAAACAGGTACATGAAAAGCTGCTCTACATCATTAATGATCAGGGAAATACAAATCAAAACCGGAGTGAGATATCACCTCATACCTATTAGAATGGCTGTTATCAAAAAGACTAGAAGTAACAAGTGTTGGCAGGGACGTGGAGAGAAGGGAACCCTCCTGCGGCTTGGGCTTCCCCGGTGGCGCAGTGGTTGAGGGTCCGCCTGCCGATGCAGGGGACGCGGGTTTGTGCCCCGATCCGGGAGGATCCCACATGCCGCAGAGCGGCTGGGCCGGTGAGCCATGGCCAGTAAGGCTGCGCATCCGGAGCCTGTGCTCCGCAACGGGAGAGGCCACAACAGTGAGAGGCCCGCGTACCGCAAAAAAAAAAAATGAAATTAATAAATAAATAAAACTAGAACTACTATACAATATAGCAATTCCACTTCTAGGTATTTATCTGAGGAAAATGAAAACACTAACTTGAAAAGCTATACGCACCCCCATATTCACTGCAGCATTATTTATAATAGCCAAGATATGAAAACAACCTAAGTGTCCATCGATGGATGACAGATGAATGAAGATGTGGTAAATACATACAATGGAATATTATTCAGCTGTAACAAAGAAGTAAATCTTGCCATTTGCAACAACATGAATGGAACTTGAGGGCACTATGCTCAGTGAAATAAGTCAGATAAAGACAAATACTGTATGACCTCTCTTAAGCGTGGAATTAAAAAAAAATTTTTTTAATTAAAAAAACCCCTCAAGCTGATAGATACAAAGAACTGATTGGTGGTTGTCAGAGGCAGCGGGGTACAGGGTGGGAGAAATGGGTGAACTTTTTTTTTAGTTTAAATAAACTGAAAGTTTAACATTTGCTAATTAGACAACATACTTCTAGGTAATCCATGGGTCAAAGAATTCACAAGGGGGCTTGCCTGGTGGCGCAGTGGTTGAGAGTCCGCCTGCCAATGCAGGGGACACGGGTTCGTGCCCTGGTCCGGGAGGACCCCACATGCCGCGGAGCGGCTAGGCCCGTGAGCCATGGCCACTGAGCCTGCACGTCCGGAGCCTGTGCTCCGCAACAGGAACGGCCACAATAGTGAGAGGCCCACGTACCGCAAAAAAAAAAAAAAAGAATTCACAAGGAAGCTAGAAAATACTTGGAACTGAGTGAAAATGAAAATACAACATATTAAAATTTTTGAGATGCAGCTAAAACAGTGCTTAAAGAAAAACTTACAGCTTTAAATATTTATACTAGAAAAAAAGTCTAAAATCAATGACATAGGACTTACCTTAAGAAGATAAAGAAAAAAGAGCAAAGTAAACCCAACCTAAGTAGAAGAAAGGAAATGATAAAGAGCAAAAATCAATGAAATTAAAAACAATTAAAAATCAACAAAGGCAAAAGTTGGCTCTGAAAACAAACAAAACAATAAACTCCTAGCTAGACTGATCAAGGAGAAAACAGAAATTATCAGTACCAGAATGAAAAAGAAATTACCACTACAGCTCCTACAAGATGTTAAAAGGATAGAAAAGACTATTATGAATAACTTTATGTCCACAAATCTGACAACTGGGGTCAAATGGATAAATTCTTTGAAATTATAATTTACCTAAACAACAGAAGATGAAACCCAAACTCTGAATAGCCCTATATTTATTAAAGAAATAAGTTATAAGAAACCTTCCCACAAAAAAAACTTCAGGCCCAGAGGGTTTCACAAATTAATTCTATAAATCTAATAATGAAAAAGAGGATAGTTAGAATTTGGTTATTAAAAAGTCACCTTTAATAGCAACAAGAATAATGTCCAAGAGTCAACATTATACAGGTTGTAAGCGCTAGCCTGTAAAGAAACAGGAAATCAGCTCCGATGAAATTCACTTCTTCTTCCCTTTCGAAGGCTTGGCAAATAAAGCTGGATCTATCTGCTCCTTTGCCAGTCCTCTGACAGAGAAGAGCCTCGCCGCCCGCTCCTGGAGAGTGCCCCCGCACTTCAGTCCCCGGGCCGTGAGTTCACACTTGAGCTTCTCCAAACCCAGCAACTCCACTTCTGCAACAGAGCTGAACGCCAGTAAATCTACAGTTTCCTGACCAATATCCTGAGAAGAAAAAGAAAGAAAAATTTTAAATAGGTCCATTCCTCTGAATAAAACTTTCTTCAATTGTCATCGACCTTCTGTTTTTCAAGAAATCTTCATTTAATATGCCATATCTTACTACTGAATTTTAATAATCATGCTATTCTCTACACATTGTCAATACATATAATTAATAAATATTAATTTTTTATCTATATAGTTAGAAACAAGTATTCAGAAGAGTAACAAGTTATAGAATTCTTGAACAGATTCTTAATATCACTTTTCTTTTTTGATTTTTCCAGTAAAAATTCAAACAGCAAAATGTACCTCACCTACCCCCATACTATGACCAGAGAAAAGAGCAGCACCCTATAAAGCCTCATTTTAATGAGATTCCTATGCCTGTGAATCTACTAACCCCATAATCCTAAGCTTTCTATTTTAATCAAATAACTGTGATTATCAAAGTTCTCACTTATATAACTTGACAAATTTAAATGCTGTTCAAAAGACTTGCAACTGTTCTATCCACCAAGTACCTTTATAGACTTTAAGACAAAATTAAATACTTTTTTAATTTTAATTAAATACTTCTAATGACGGGTGCTCTGCAAAGAATGAAAACATTCACCACCTAGGTTTTTTTTTTTTTTTTTTTTGTGGTACGCAGGCCTCTCACTGTTGTAGCCTATCCCGTTGCGGAGCACAGGCTCCGGACGCGCAGGCCCAGCGGCCATGGCTCACGGGCCCAGCCGCTCCGCGGCACGTGGTATCTTCCCGTACCGGGGCATGAACCCATGTCCCCTGCGTCGGCAGGCGGACTCTCAACCACTGCGCTACCAGGGAAGCCCTAGGGTTTTTTTTTAAAAAACATATTCAAAGGTCAGTAATTTTCTCTCACAGTAAGTTGTTTTTTAAAAATATTGAAGAGCTCTAGGGACAAACTATCTTTCTAGGTGATCTTTATTTTTTTTTAAAAAAAAGTCCATTTTGTTAAGATTTCTGGAGTGAATCCTGGCTTCTTTATATATGGCCAAATCCTAAACCACCACTTATGTGTCTTTGGAGAATCACACATGGTTGTACATGATTATTATGAATACAACAGCTACAACTACATCAAGAACAAAATTTCCACAGTTAAAAGCTCAAAGATTGAAAGTCAAATCAGGTTTTATTCTATTTTCCTTTCTTCATTTTTCCAAGACTAGGATAAACTCCTAGCATATATGAGTAACATAAAAGCTACATGCTTGTAACTCCAGAGATGGTGTAAGGGTCAATTTAAAGCCCTTAGCATAAAAAATTTCACTATCTTCCCTAGAAAGGGCAATATGTGCATTTTTGCTTATTTAACCAGCACCAGTAGGGAAGGTGCTGGTTAAATAAATAATGATAAGCTTTGTGTTTACCAAAGAAGCCAAGTAGTTCAGGTTTCATCTATCCTAAAAAGCAAATCATTAGGCTGAAGAGTAAACGTTAAAGGTTTTTGCTGGAAGTAAGTCCACTAAAGGCGGCAAATAACTATTTAAGGAAAAGCATGCACAATGAAAATAAATTTTAAAAAGGTTGAGTGTGGGGCTTAAGATTTAATGATAAATTAAAAAGGAGCTGCTCCTCTTCTACAGGAAAGATCTTCACATCCAACTGACAACTGTGTTCAAACAGTAACTCACATGAGAAAGAAAAACTAAGTAACTAGAAATTTAGTGATAGGAAAATAAGCACATTTTATCAAAGCTAAAAATGCCATCTATCATAATATGCCTTATTAGTGCATGTGTTATTAAGAAAGAATAATAATACCAATTAAACTATAACGTGATATATATTCAAATTCAGAGGTATTAAAACGTGAAAAACGTGCATCTTAGAATTGATGAAATATGGAACCAAGGACACCACCTAGTGGCAAAATAATACCAATTCCAGAGCTTTAAAAAAAACAAAAACTGGGCTTCCCTGGTGGTGCAGTGGTTGAGAGTCCACCTGCCAATGCAGGGGACATGGGTTTGTGCCCCGGTCCGGGAAGATCCCACATGCCGCGGAGCGGCTGGGCCCGTGAGCCATGGCCGCTGAGCCTGCGCGTCCGGAGCCTGTGCTCCGCAACGGGAGAGGCCACAACGGTGAGAGGTCCACGTACCACAAAAAAAACAAAAAACAAAAAACTAAGGATTTGGGGGGGGACATGGCAAGCTTCACCATCATCTGTACTTCTGATTATTAAACAAGCTTTTCCACTAAGCAGCCGATGGGAAAAAGCACATCTTTTCATTTTAACGACTTACTACAGAGATTAAACTGATTTGGCTTCAGACATCACCCCCCCAAATTTACTTACTGTGTTTCCTGACTGGCTTTCCTCCAGCTTGGCAACAGGTATGTTTTCCCTGTCTCCTCCAGGGGCTCCCTTGGCACCTCTTTCCCCATCAGTCATTTCTTTGGTCTCCTGCTCCTTATTCAGTCCAACTCCAGCTGCTTCCTTTTCTAAGGGTTCTTTACTCTCTGCCTCATTTTTCTCCTGGGTTTTCTCTGTTTCTAAAGCCATCTTCCTTTCCATGTACTCCTGGGTAGATGCCTCTCCCAGCTCAGCATACAAGTCTTCTGAAATACCATTCCCAGAGTCCGTCACAGGGGTCTGTAGTTTTTCTCGTGATCTAGAGTCTGCACTCAAAACTCTTGCCTGCTGAGAGCTACTAGGAAATTCGGCTGCCATCTCAACAACATCACTGCCATTTTGGGGAACGTGAAAGCTCATTCCTGAAGTACTAGGTGCTTCTGCACTGCCATCATCGGAGCTCTCAGAGCCAGACCCTTCTGCAGTCTCTAGTCCTTCCATGCCCAACCTATTAGAAGCAACAAAAAGGTTTAACACCATTTACAGCTTCTACTTAAAAAAAAAAAAAAGAGTTGCAGTTTGTCCAGGAAACAGACTCTGAATAAAGGTATCGGCTAGCTTGAGATGGAGAGTAGGTGAGTTTCAGAACAAGATACTCCAGAGGTATAAAAGGAAAAAAAACTTCAGTGAGACTGGAAGCAACATGCCAAAGATCCAACAGGATCTCTTTTTAAAAGCTGTGACTCTCTTAAAACAAACTGGTTTTGCTTAAAACTTTTTTCCCCAATACTGTATGAATTTTAACTGTTGGAAATTAGATAAAATAATAAACAATTAAAAGAAAATCCTGGGAACTCCCTGGCAGTCCAGTGGTTAGGACTCCGAGTTTCCACTGCAGGGGGCACAGGTTCAATCCTTGGTCAAGGAACTAAGATCCCGCATGCCACATGGCACGGCCAAAAAAAAAAGAAAGAAAATCCTGTTTTATTCATAATTGCCCAAGACTGGAAACTACCCAAACCTCTAACAGCTAGAGAATGGTTGATAAACATATTGTGGTACAGACATACCAGGCAACAATACTTGGCAATAGAAAGGAATGAACTACTGATACAATATAATACCATCTGTGGATCTTGAAAGCATTATTGTAAGTGAAAGCAGCAGACATAATGACATTCTGGAAAAGACAAAACCATATGAACAAACATCACACCAGTGATCAGCGGTTGCCAGGAATGGAGGTGGGGGAAGAAAATTAACTGCAAAGGGACACGTGAGAACGTCTTAGGGTGATAAAAATATTCCATAGCTTGATTTTGGTGATGGTTACATGACTGTATATTATAAAATTTTCAAAACTTGTAGAACTGTTCAAAAAGGGTGAATTTTGGGCTTCCCTGGTGGCGTAGTGGTTGAGAGTCCGCCTGCCGATGCAGGGGACACGGGTTTGTGCCCTGGTCCGGGAAGATCCCACATGCCGCGGAGCGGCTGGGCCCGTGAGCCACAGCCACTGAGCCTGCGCGTCCGGAGCCTGTGCTCCGCAACGGGAGAGGCCACAACAGTGAGAGGCCCGCGTACCGCAAAAAAAAAAAAAGGGTGAATTTTACCATATATAAATTATACCACAATAAACCTGGCTTAAAAAAAAGAAACCCACAGGAAATACTACTATCTTTTCTCTCAGGAACATTTAATTCACATTTCAGAAAGAACACAAAAAATTCTATGCTGGACTCACAGAGTTACATGGTGTTTAGTTAATAATTATCTTTCTATCCCCAAAGGGGAGGCCAACAAGGAAACCAAGATCCATTTGCACTTATCATATTCTAGAACTCGGCCCAAGGGAACTGAGCTGGTAACCAGAGGACCAACTGGGAAGGGTGGGAGAACTGTAAGAAGAATGGATAAGAAAAAGTACTGTTGTGCTTTTCACCTGCAGGTACAAAAGTGGTGAAGAGAGGTCTGGCAAAGTGACCAAAGACCTCAGTGATGACGACGAAAAACCACAGAGAAAACAGAACCACCTGGAAAGTAAAGCCATGGCTTCCACCTGGAATTTCTGAAAGTTAACTCTTTCAACACCTAACAGTAATTCAAGTATAAAGCTATTTTTATGTGACTTTCCACTGTAAGGAAAAGAATTATCCTTTAGATTCTATGAATGGCACTTATGGCAGAAACCATTACTAATGTATACAATGTGAGAATCACCGAAACCTGAACTGAAGCACTCTGGAAAATTTCTGAGCTTCCGTCAGACTTTACTTAAAAGTATGTTTATTCCAGGTAGATAAGAAAAAAATATAGTAGGTAAGTTTCAGAACAAGATATTCCAGAGGGATAAATAGAAGGAAAAAAAAATTATTTTTTCTTCAGTTCTCAAAGATCTATTTGAAATGAAAATGAACACACTTACCAAAAGCATTTCCTTTTCTCTGCACTGGCTGCTCTGTCTGTTTTTGATTTGTTAGGCCGTTTCCGACTCTCACCGACTTCTGCCGATACCGTCTTGCTGGAGGCAGCCTGCATACCTAACCAGACATTTTAACAACTCAGTTTCTACTATCAGGACTAAGTTCAATTAAAGAATTTATAAATAACCTGAATTGCAAAAACAGCTGCAATCTAAAGCTCTAGATTTAAATTTCTTAACATACCAAAATTTAATCCAGTTAAAAGGAGACTAATCTCAAATTTATACAGATTTAAGGTAAGCATTCTGGCTCTTGAACCGGATTTTTAAAGCACCATGTCCAATTTGTAATTTTGAGGCTGACAGATTCATACCTATCTCTCCTCAAACCTAACGATTCATCCCCTTGTGCTTGTTATTTGCATACAACTGTCTTTCCCCTGTTATGCCATAACTCTTTTGATGGAAAAGACTCCTTCTTATTCAATTGAATGCACAATAGCCCTAGCATAATGCTTTGGATGCTAAAAACATAAAAGTTAATGAAAATCATTCTCATTAAAAACCGTGTTTTAAAAAAGGGACCTAAAACTGGAAGCAAAATGTTGGGGTCTAGGCACCTCCTGAAGACTTAGCTTATTCCCATGAAGCACAAAAAGTATTCTTACCTGGGGCCCATGAGCCCACAGAGTTCAGGGGTCAAGTATGTCAAATGTTGTGAGAGTGTATGGGTTTTTTCCCTGGGTTGTATAAGATATACTGTATTCATTACTGAGGGGAGAAATTCCACAGCTTCATCAGTTTCTCAGAAGTCTGTAACCCAAAAAGGCTTAAGAACTGCCCTCTGTGTGGAACAGCTGGCTTCAGGGACGCCTGCTGATGGCACTAAGGAATCCTCATTCTCACCTCGGAGGACGGAATCCTCCAGACGCTCGGCCATCTCATGGCACTGCTGCTGGTAGTCGGGGCTGGTGAAGAAGTGCCTGGGTTCTGCAAGCTTCCGCTGCAGTCGTTCCAGGCGCTTTTGCTCCTTTTCAGCTTCTCGCTCGGCTTGTTGTTTTACCCATTCAGCCATTCTGGGGATGGGAGAGAAGAGATGTAACTGAATGGCCATATTATACACATGTGTTTTTATACATAAAACACCCCACCCAGACAAATTAATGCACTCTTGTTCATACTGTGATATTCCCTCAGAAAGGTGTGCCATGCTTACTACTTAGCATACTGTTATGGACTTGACTAAAACCTAAAGATAATTATTAAATTACAGAAAAAGTTAAATCTGATAACAACAAATTAGAGCATAAGTATTTCAAGTTTACATTTCTGATATGCATGGCATGCGTACAATCACTAATGCTAGAAAAGTATGTTTCTTAAAAAAAAATAAAAACAGGTGGGCATCTTACGCTTTTTCGTGATTGACATCTCGCAGTCTCCTTCCACTGAGATCCCGGCAAGCTTCTCGATTGGTTGTCTTCTCAATCTGAGCACCAAGTGCTCGGAGCATAGAGCCAAAACCTGAGCAAATATGTTTGGAGAAAGCAGGTTAAAAAAGTGTTCAAGGATGGACAAAAGCCAAATTTGTGAAAACAGTATTATATCACAAGACTACAGGTGATCTCTACTTTCTTTTCAGTTTTAAAGGAAATGTACATCAAGATTCTAACCCAGGTGGCAAAGATAAGAGTACTGATAAACTTGGTTCAATCTCATGCTTTTTACACTTCCTCTTATACTCCTGCAATATTGTATCAATACCCACATCACTGGGCTATTTTAGAGGGCTTTACCTAGTGCCAGAAATCCCAAGATTCCACGATTAAGAATTTTAAAAATTATATGGTGAGATTTTGCAAGGAGGCAATTTTAAGCTGTCACTGGCTGATACGACAAGCTTCATTCTTATTGACACAATTTCGAACAGCAGGATGATTATAATCTGAAATGTTAGCTCTTTGAAAACCAAACCGAATCACCACAGATTTTGAGAAAGCCTAAGGATTACATGTTAGTGCATCAGGAGAAATACCAAGAACTGTTCATATTCAGTTTTTGCTCTTTTAGTTTCTTTTTTCTCTTCTAAGATGAGTTACTACAACCAGGACCTTAATCTACCTCAATCTGTAAATGGTTGTATTTCATAAAGTGACTTTAGACCTCCCTTGGAACTACAATAACTAGGCAAAAATCTTGAGAAAAGCACAAGGAGATTTGATTGTTTTGACACTCGTCTGCAAACTGGACAGAATAACAATCACCCCTCTTCATCTAATCCTCCCTAGAGTTTGAGAGCCTAGGGTGCCTAAGAGTGATCCAGCTGGAGAAGGTGGGAATTTTATCATACGGTATCTACCTCAAAAAGAATAAAAGAGAAAATATGCAAAATCAGATAAGCAAACAAAGGATTTCACAAGGCAAATCGAGGCTGGTACATTACAGACACCAAGGAGTTTGTTAATTTAATACATATGGCTACAGAACACAGATGTGTTACAACTAAGCCATCAACATTCATGTCCTACCTCCTTTTCCACCACGAAGTCTGGGTTCCAAACTATAAACAGCTCCATGCTGCACTGTGTCACTGGTGTTAACGAGTAATCCATTGCATTTCACAAAGTAGCATTCCACTGGAATATCCTAGAGACAAGTTTGGGGGTTCTTTCAATGCTGTTTATGAGACAATACAAGTTTCTTGCAGAAAGGGACCTAGCTTATCTTTTTATTACTTCAGTTATAAGGAGACAGTATGTGTTCAATTAATATTTGTTGAATTGCAAAAATGGAAACTACTAAAAGAAAAAACTCATTTTGTATGATGTATTCTAGGTACAATTTCTTCCTAATACTTAATCATGATATATAGAAGAACTTTCTGTCTTTTGGGTGAAAATTAAAACTGCTCTCAGGACTTCCCTGGTGGCCCAGTAGCTAAGACTCCACACTCCCAGTGCAGGGGGCCCAAGTTCGATCTCTGGTTAGGGAACTAGATCCCACACGCCACAACTAAGAGTTTGCATACCACAACTAAAGATACTGCACGATGCAACTTAAAAAAAGATCCCGAATGCTGCAAGAGCCCGCATGCAGCAATGAAGATCCCACGTGCCGCAACTAAGACAGGCACAGCCAAACAAATAAATAAATGTTAAAAAAAAAAAAAACAACAGAAACAAAAAACCTGCTCTTTCTCCTTCTCTAATAGGAAATAGGGGTCAAGGTAGAATATTCAGTGCTCAGATCTAGTAACTCTGAAGGTCCCACTTCCTCTGACTTTTTAAAACAGGTAGTATCAGGTTGAACACTGAGTGGCCCCAAGTTTAAAAGTGACATCTTGAAAAGCGTAGATAGGGATAAGAAGAGAGGAGAGGAGGAGAAAAAGTATGATTTTTTTTGTGTGTGTGTGGTACGCGGGCCTTTCACTGTTGTGGCCTCTCTCGTTGCGGAGCACAGGCTCCGGACGCGCAGGCTCAGCAGCCATGGCTCACAGGCCCAGCCGCTCCGCGGCACGTGGGATCTTCCTGGACTGGGGCACGAACCCGTGTCCCCTGCATCGGCAGGCGGGCTCTCAACCACTGCGCCACCAGGGAAGCCCTGATTTTTAATATACTACCTATATAAGCTTTAACAGCTTTAGGACCAGCTGGCAGTTGGTGCCTCATCTCTTCTGCCAGCATCCCCCTGAGTTCCAGCCAATCACTGCAGAAGCCCAAGTACACTCCCCCAAACCCACTCTATGTATTTCAAAATAATTCTCAGATCAAATGATGAAAAGAAAATATAAAAACTGTAAGTCTTTCTAAACAAGTTTCTAATGCCATAAAATGAGACAAGAGAGGAGTATCCACCAAAGTTATATGGAACTTAGGAGGCTGACAATTAACTCTGCAACATGAAGAAAAGAGAGATCTAAATAGGAATAGAAAGGAAAAATGCATTGCCGTCATCTTCCTGAAGTGGAAACTATGAACATTCATTCTGAACCACATCATACAGCTATTTCAATGGGACCCATTCATTCATTCAGCAAATATTAAGTACCTACTATTTGCCAGGTACTTTTCAAGTGTTGGAATACTACCATGAATACTACAGTGAATACAGATCCTGTCTCATGAAGCTAACATTCTAGTGGGGGAAGACAAATAATGAACAAATTATATATCATGCCAAGTGGTGATATGCAGGGTAAAGGGGATAAGATATGTGTATGTGGATGGGTGTGGTGGTAATCTATTTAATATATATAGTCAAGGAAAGCCTCTCTGATCAAGTGACATTTGAGCGGAGAATTAAAGAAAGTGAGAGAATGAGCCATGTGACTACCTGGGGGAACAGTATTCCAGACAGAGACAAGAGCAAACGCAACAGGAATGAACTTATTCAAGGAATGACAACACAGCCAATGAGGCTAGAACGAAGTACACAAAAGGGGAATGATAAGGCCTTCAAAACCACTGTAAGGACTCTAGATGTTACTCTGAATAAAACTATTGTAGAGTTTTGAACAAAGTGCGATCTGAGTCATGCTCTTAAAGTATCACTCTAGCTGTTAAACTGAAAGTAAGACTACAGAAGCAGAGAGATCATTGAGAAGCTATTGTGATAATCCAGGTAAGAAATGAAGGCTATTTGTACCAGGGCAGTAGTGGCAGAGATGATGAGAAATGTGAGATTCTGAGGATACTCTGAAGGTAAAGGCAACAGGATTTGCTAATGCTCTGGGTGAAGGGAGTGAGATCAATAGAGGAATTAGAGATGATTGCAAAAATCCAGTTTGATAAATGGGAAAATGGAGTTGTCATTCATTAAGAGGGAAAAGGAAGTTTGAGGGAGAAAATTAGTCTCATCTCAGATATTTTACTTTGAGATGTTTATTGCACAGCCAGATGGAGATGCCAAGTAGACTGGTGGCTATACAAGTCTGGAGTGTGGGGAAGAGGTCTGCACTGGGGATTTACATTTGAAAGTTGTCGGCATACTGATGGTAGTTAAAGCCATGAGTATGGATGAAATCACTGGGATGAGGGAGGGGTCCCTCCAAGATTAGAGTTCAGGGTGATGAGGAGGAAACTGTAAAAGACTGGAAAGGAGAGGCCAGTGAGGTGGACGAGAACTGAGAGTGATATCTGGACAAGTGAGAAAAGTGTACTCCGGCGGGGAATGGTCAATTGTGCAAACTGGCACTGACAGACAAAGCAAGATGAAAATTGCAAACTGATCACTGGATATGGCAACATAGAAGATACTGACCAGTATGACAAAGAGCTGTTCTGTTGGAGTGATGGGAACAAAAAAGCCGAGCTAGAGTGGGTTCTAAAGGAGAAAAGTTTTATGTTCAAGAATATTTTTTTATAAAGAAAATCAGAGAAAATAAGGTGATAGCTAGAATGGATGTGGGCTCACGTTTGCGCACTGGTAGGAATGATGCTGTAAAAAGGGAAAACACTGGAAAATACAGGGGAGAAAGAACTAATGCCCAAATAAGTCTTTCAGTAGGTGAGGGGGAAGGGTTACTGTACAAAGTAGAAGATAATTGCAAATTATTTGTAAAATAATGACAGTGCCTCCACAGTAACAGACAAGAAGGCTGAATATACAGCAGGTACCTACCAGAGGCACTGGTGTGACGATGCAGAAATTCTCTCCTTACTGCTTGAGTACAAAGTATGGTCCTTGGGATGGAAGAAGTCTTGGAGATTTAAAGAGAGATGTGAAAAAGTAATCTAGGAGAGTGAAAGAGTGATGAACTGAGCAGTGCCTCTCAACCCTTTTCACACCATGGTATACACAAATAATATTTGGATGACACTCTAGGGAAAATGAGCCAAGCTATTAAAGATGTGTTGAGATCCTGGGTTCTGTCCAGCTGCCCAAGGACTACTTAGATCAATATTCTCAGCAGTCCTGCAACCCAGTGGAAGCATGCTCTGGGTTAGAGAAATACAGTAGAAATGCCAAGCACCACTAAGTTTGGTGTTTATGAATTTGTAGTGAGACTTGTTTGCGTGATTAGTTCCCCTACCACAGTCACTGCCCAGATGCCAGGTAAAACAGGTGGAGAGTTGGATTTAAGCTGACTGGAGTTTTCCCAGGCAAATATGATACCAGGAGAGAGGAGCAAGGGAGCTCAGGCTATATGCAATGATGTGGTTAACATGAAGGACTATTCTTGCCTATAAAATACTGTCCACTTTAAAGAGTTCTAAAAATTAAATGAGACATATAATATACCTCCTATATGTTTAATGTTTATAAATTAAGAGCTACTTTAGTTTCTTTTAATATCTTATATATCCAATGGGTATGGTATTTCTAAAATCCTAAATAACTTTAAAAGACTTTAACATGAAGGCTGAAAGATTATACATCATGCATCATACTTCATTTCCAAACAAAACTGCTTATTTAACGAGACAACTGATTAACAAAATGGCATTTTCTACTTGTTAAGATTCTTGTCAGTTAATAATCACTAGTAGAAAAAAATAACAAAGAAAATTTACAATCAATTCAACTGTTTTTAACCATTATAGAGCATTTCAAGCAGAAAGTATTACGTGTGTCTTAGGCCAATCAGCCGAAGGCCACCAGAGACAACATATAGTTCAACAACTCAAATTTCTTGACTCACTACAACAAGAGAGGGACTGCATACAAGAGGAATCATGAGGTGTCTCACCAACAAATAAAAAGATATAGTTATTATAGGATTTGGGGTGGATGGAATTTAGGTAAAATTTAAATGAAACAATGTTTTGAGAGGCTCACAATAAAGCAGGGCTGTGTGTATAAGGGTCAACATCAGGTCTAGACTGTGAAGGAGATCCAGGCTCCTCTTTCCTCGGAAACTACAAAGTTAAGATAAATGTGGAATGTTGTGTCCGGAAACCCCTAATCTGAAGCTCTGCACCTGGGAAATCAAGAGTGCTTCTCTACGTCAAAGTGACTTAGATTCTCAAGGTAAGAGTGGGATGCTTCTTACTGATATAACTTCCAACAGCAGTTTATTCTTATAGTCTATGATTTTTGAGGTAAGGTTTCACAAAGACTAAAAAAGCAGCAGACTTTCAAGGAAGTCATTATGACATTTCATCACTGTACCATGTCCTTGGGAGAAACACTGTTTCCTATTAACTTTGCAGCTAGCTTTATCTGTGTATTATCCCAGTCTGATGAAGAGCCAGGCTGACTTTTACTTTCTCAGGGAGAGCTAACACTAACTTTATCACGTGTCAGAATAGTTCTGTTTTAAAAGGCATAAGCATGAACTTGAGCTATTTTTATTCGTTCCAGTATCTCATCAAATGCCCTTTTATAAGTTTTGTTCATACTTGTTATGGCCATGTGTCTTAAGTATATGAATGAATCCATTCGTTTATATTTCTTGCTTATTTTAAATTATTTTTTCCAAGACCCCTCATAATTAAGATCTTATTTTTTTCTGGTCTCACTTTGGATCAACTGTCAGTAAGTTTGAAAACTGGTCATCAGATAAAAGTTATTTTCAGAGATATTAAAATCCAACTATTTTGGAAAATATTTCCCCATTCAGATGGTAAAAACATTTCTGACAGTTTTTAAACTGGACTGAAGTCTAGGAAGAAAAATGGGGAAACTGAAAAACCACATTATTTGCAAACAGACATTGCTTCTTCATGGAACCAATCCAAGTAAAGATTTGGTTTAGACTGCAGTGTTAACGTGTTAATAGGAGATCAAATGTCAAAATTAAAATTAGATTCATTGAGACCAGCATATTCTTTAAATAACTGAATAGGTTTAATATCTTATAGATGGTAAAAGCTTGCTTACTTGATAATTAAGTAAACCACACATGTAACTTTAGAAGTCAATGACAGGTTTTCAAAAATATGCCTGGGCAAATCAGAGCTTCATAATGATTAGTGAAAACATCTACATGACAGGCCCTAAGAATCATGCCCTCGACATGACCTATGTGAGTGCTTGGCCCCGACCAGTGACCAGATAAATCCATTTCCTTCCCAACCATCCTTTGGCCTGGGTTTGGATATGAATGACATACTTCTCTAGGTTGGAGCTAAGAGGGCTGTGTTATCAGTGGACAAAAAATGCACGTCACATAAGCACAGAGCGAAAGTAAGGAAATGAGCCTTAAAAATCATCTGGTTCAACTGCCTCATTTACGAATGAAGAGAATACCAAAGTGTATTCTGTTAGTCCAGACTGAGGGCCGGACTAAACGCCCGTGAGCGGAGGGGTTTTTCTCCCTTCTGTGAGACAAAACCACCACAAAACAAAAGCAAAGGCAGGCCTCAGCATCAGTTTGAAGCACCTTAAAACCCTAACCCTCAGCCTCAAAAACTGAGAACCCCAAAGAATAGACGTGCCCCCGACAGACCCTCACCGCACCTAATCCTGCCCCTGTCCTGCTTTCCCATTCCTTCCAGGAACCACAAACCTGACCTGATCCTGGCAGTGTCGGTGGATAAAATCGCGTACGGAGCGCGTGGCCGAGGTACACCACACCGCCTTGCACCCGAAGCTGGGGCCCCGAAGCCACACCACGGCCGCAGGCTCCGCCATTTCACCCAGTCGCCGAATCTCAAGACTCCCAGAAGCGCTAAGCGCCACAACCAGCTCGGCGTATCTTGATGACGTTGAGCTCGCCCTCCAGCGCCCCGCCCCTCACATCTTCCGCTTGTCCCGTTCCTCCCCTGGGGATAGTCACGTGACTTGGGGCGGCGGAGCCTGCTGCCTGGGGGAGGGGAACAGGAAGAGCCTGGCAGAGGCAGATAAGACCGCGGAGCACCCGGGCGAGGCGTTGCTAGGAGAAGTTGCTAGGGCGGGGCTCCAGGGACTCTCTATAAAAGGCTAGCGCTGGGTTAGGTTTCGAGCGTTCTGGCTGTAAGCGATAAGTTGGTAACTAAGCACCTCCCTGTGCCGCAGGCTTTGGCCCTTTTCCTCACGTCTGTGTAGTTATTTTTGGGTCGCAGGGAATCGTGGCCTGAGAAGGAGCTGCTCCCTGGGGGCGTGAGGAGGGAAGCTTCAGTCCCGGAAGCGGTTTTGGGGGGCTGCTTCCTCGGCTCTGGGGAGCTCCCCCAACCCTAGGGGCAAGGGAAATGGAGGTCAGGAGGTTTCTAAACAACACCCCTGGGCGTTTTTTTCCTCCCGGTTTACCAAGCATTCTCTTCCTTTGCGGAAACTGCCAACCTCTCGGTTTCTGCCTGCCACGCTTAGTTTATTCGTACTTCCGCCTGTTTGCGCTCTGCGTTAGCTTCACTTCAGCTCTGTTTTCAAAATATTTCATAGCAAGTGGGCCCTTGTGAAAGGCAGTGGCAGGAGTGACGCTTATAGAAATGCTGCTTCGAAAAACCCTGCCGTAACTTTCATTCCGCACCATGGAAACACACTCGCACACATTTGCATAGCCTAACTTTAAGGCTCTGGGAATCCGAAGGAGTCCCTTCATATTTAATATGCTGAGATTATGGTGTTTCTAAAATCCTGAAAAATATAAAGGCGACGAGTGTGAAGATAGGAGGGTTCTTAGGAGATATCTGCGCCTGTTAAACACAAATATATCCGCCCGCAGAATCGAATTCTCTGACGCTCAGGTACTTGGCAAATGAAACTCTGCTGAAGGGAAAGCAACAAAAAATTCAGAAATCATTTTAACTGTGGCGGTATGAACAACAGTAAAATTTCAAGGCCTCTGAAGTTATAGACTCTGTTACCTTTATTTCACTTACACAGGAGGAAAAATGAGAAAGTGCCTCCATGGGGGTGCCAGGAAATAAAAATTACACAAAATAACAAAGGTGCGGTGCTAGAGACCAGTGTTTTGCAAAGAGGGTGACATGGTGACCCTGGAGTCAGTAAATGTCTCACTAAGTATGTATCTTTCTAATAAGGGAAGTCCACATTGTTTATTACTAACTAGCATCATATCTAGTCCTTCCAAAACCTGAAGTCTGAATGAAATTGTTCACTCTTTATCCCTTTGTTGCATTTAAATTCCTATTGTTAAAAAAAATCCCAAGTATTGAAAAGGCGTTTGTCATATAATATATGAAATAACTATTATTAACTTTTCAAAGACAAAAATCTCCTGAGCAGTATATAATGTTGTTAAATCTTCACAATAAGCACTTAGCACTATGACACACACAAAGTAGACATTAAATCCATATTAGCTGGATATTTGATGAATTACTAAGGTATTAAGTCTAATTATTCCCAATACACATCTGAAGAGACATAACTTGCACCAACAGAACGCTTTCTCTCCTAAGGATGCAGATTCAACTTGGGTTATCATTACTGAATACATTTAAATAATGAGGAAATTGATGTACCTAAAGTTAGGGCTGTGGCCAAGAAAACAGTGCACATCAGTGGAAAAAAACCTAGAAACACAGCTGACTGGCTGGATGGCTGAGAGTGTGTGGTGGTGTCCAGTAGACGGTGTTGTGTGGCCAGACTGGTCAGTGGTTATGATAAAACAGAGATAACTGCTGCCACGTCTCCCACCTCACGGTGTTAGTTAGGTAGGGAAGGGACAGGAAGACACATGTAGGGTTGTGACACTAAGTGGTGAGGGGGTGGGGGCCTAGTTCCTCTACTATCAAAAGAGTGTAGCTGTGCTCTTAGAGCTGTATTTGGTGTTCTTTCCAATAAACCACACTGACCTTGTTTCTGCCCATCTTCTCCAAAAGATTGACTCTAGCTATACAGTTGCTTTTTGAAGACTGGTTCAACCGCCACAAGAAGGACACTGTGAGAGCATCCCGAGGCAATGGGGAATATTGTTCATTGCCAGTAAATGACAGCACCAGACAACGTTTGTGTGGCAGCCCATGACAGGGGCTCAACTGAGCCAGAATGTCCTGCTGGTCTGTAAGAACAGGAGGCAGAGCCGTACAGCTCTGGCAGTTTTCATAAATGACAGCAAGGCTCCTGAACTACTGAATTCACAGACTATATCCATGTGTGACATGCAAGTCGCACTTCCGCGTTTTCAGCCATGTTCGTGCTCAGAGAAGACGAAAGGAGGTTGTCAATGCCGTCTTTACGACAAAAGACAATGGGACAGGATGACTCCTCCAGTGCCACAAACGCAAAACTGCTCTAGACTCCCCAATTGGTAAGTGTCACCTTGTAGATGGCTCCCGACCCAGGAACAATGAGGTCAGCTCCTAGGATGGAAAAACAGCTTCTGGGTAAGAGCTGTGTAATCCACACTGGGTGGTGGTTGGTGTAGGAGGTGGAGCCTGAAGCAAGCACCCAAGATGTTTGGCTGCCAATGAAGGCACAGCTCCACCCTCCTTCCTTTACTGGATGGAAGAAAACAGGACCCGTCAAGGGTGAGATGGAGTTGAGAGGTAGAAGAGGTTTGTGTTTAGCTCTGATGCTGGAAAGGATCTGGAGACGGCAGAAGAGGAGAGTAGGGTAGAAGCGCAGAGCAGAGATAAAAAGCTGGACCCACAGTCAGTGCTGAATGTAGAAGCCCACCTCTTTGTAGTATCAGCAAGAAGAAAGCATCTTCACTTAGGGTAGACTTACATCAATACATTCTGTCACTCCTGATTGCCCTAGATATTACCTTGTTTGCATCATCATGCCAATAGTAGTTTCCAAAGGCTTATTTGGTATCATCATTCTTACATCACCATCAAATAATGTCATTACATTAAAAATTTCTGCCGTGCTGTTCAGTGTACTAGAACTATAAAACAAAACTGGCAAAGCACCTATCTTTCAGAAATTTACTATCTCAGCACTGGAATTTTTTCAACACTGAAATTTAATTTCTCTCTAGTCAATAGATATCCACAATCCTTTATGAGTTCTGCATAGCTAAGCCTTTCAAAAGGGGATTTTCCTGCTGGAGAAGTGATAAGTCTTTGGGAGTATTTTTTCCTTTAATTATTTGACATTAGAGTATGTCCACTACATTAGTCAGTGTTCTCCAGAGAAACAGAGTCAATAGGAGATATGTGTGTGTGCGTGTGTGTGTGTGTATACAGAGAGAGAGAGAGAGACACTTATTATAAAGAATTGGCTCACACCTCATGCAATTATGAAGGCTGACAAGTCACAAGACCTGCAGGGCAAGTGGGCAAGTTGGAGACCCAGGAAAGCTGATTGTGTAGTTCTAGTCTGAAGGTCAGCAGGCTCAAGACTCAGAAAGAGCCAATGTTTCAGTTTGAGTTTGAAGGCAGGAAAAAGCTGATGTTCCAGTTTGAAAGCAGTCAGGTAGAAGGAATTCTCCCTGACTGGGAGGAGGGTTGGGCTTTTTGCTCTATCCAGGCCTTCAACTGATTGGACGGGACCCACCCACATTAGGGAGGGCAATCTGCTTTGCTCGGTCTACTGGTTCAAATGTTAATATCTCATCCAGAAACACCCAGAATAACGTTAGACCAAATATTTGGGCACCTCGTGACCCAGTCAAGTTGACATATAAAATTAACCATCTGGGAGGGAGACGCAAGAGGGAGGAGATATGGGGCTATATGTTTATGTATAGCTGATTCACTTTGTTATACAGCAGAAACGAACACACCATTGTAAAGCAATTATACTCCAATAAAGATGTTAAAAAAATGGGGCTTCCCTGGTGGCACAGTGGTTAGGAATCCGCCTGCCAATGCACGGGACACAGGTTTGAGCCCTGGTCTGGGAGGGTCCCACATTCCGAGGAGCAACTAAGCCCATGTGCCACAACTACTAAGCCTGCACTCTAGAGCCTGTGAGCCACAACTACTGAGCCCACATGCCACAACTACTGAAGCCCGCGCGCCTAAGAGCCCATGCTCTGCAACAAGAGAAGCCACCGCAATGAGAAGCCTGCACACCACAATGAAGAGTAGCCCCTGCTCGCCGCAACCAGAGAAAAGCCCACACGCAGCAACAAAGACCCAACACAGCAAAAAATAAAATAAATTTTAAAAATTTTTTAAAGATGTTAAAAAAATAAAAAGTAAAAATAAGGGGCTTCCCTGGTGGTGCAGTGGTTGAGAGTCCGCCTGCCGATGCGGGGGACGCGAGTTCGTGCCCCGATCCGGGAGGATCCCAAATGCCGTGGAGCGGCTGGGCCCGTGAGCCATGGCCGCTGAGCCTGCACGTCCGAAGCCTGTGCTCCACAACGGGAGAGGCAAAAACAGTGAGAGGCCCGGGAACCAAAAAAAAAAAAAAAAAAAAAAAAAATTAACCATCATGTCCACTAACTGGAGTTATCTTTAGTAAAGAAATAACCTTAACTATTTAATTTTACTTTGCACCTGAAGAGGAAATGTTATGTGGTGAATAGAGAGACTGAGAAAAAATTAGATGTTTCTTACTCCCCAGAGGTTTCACTGTATGAACTCAGGAAACTCATCTGACTGCTCTGTGTACCTGCT